TTTTCTCAATATAATTCGTAAATTTATTTTTTTGACACCCTGAATTGATAATGAGCAAAACATTGAAAACTCTGTTAAAATAATTTGTCAATACGCAATCGAAACTATCGAAATTAAGTTAAAGAACAAATGTTTCTTTATACGGAAAAATAGTTGTTCTATTGCATATAACTAATTTTTTTAAACAAAATTCAGTTAGGTAGGTATATAAGTCTATACACAGAGTACATGGAGATTTCTGAGCGGAATTGAAAGATGTAATAATATACGGGGTGTTTCATTTAAAATAACTTAAACTAAGTTGCTTCCAGTGGCTGTGGTATTTTGGGCAAATTTCAAACCTTTCCAGTAGGTACCTATTCTGGTTTAAGTTTCTCTTTAATTTGAGCGAAAAACACCCGGTATACATTCGGCCAAAGTGCAGCCGTAAGCGATTTTCCTGCACTTGAATCCGGCAGTTTCAGCGATTAAATGCGAAGAAATAAAACCTAATGGGGCCTGTTTCCCGTTAATTAAGCTCCGGTTTTCGTCCGGGTTTTTTTTGGTCACACACACACTCAGCCTCCGGACTAATGGACGATATTTCGCCGGAATTGTGGCAATTGAAACTTTGCCAGTATTACTTTCCGCCATTAAAAGCATGCCAGAGTCCTCCCTCGGCAAAATTAAAGGTATCCAGGCAACATTGGCTAATTTCGCCCGCCCCTTGCCCGTTCCCGACTTTGCAATTAACTAACTTGATTTGGGAGATCCCCGCTTTCTGGATCTGTTCACAATGTGATGTCAATGTTTTGTTTCGCTCACTGCCGTCCATTTTCATTCGACCACTTTTTGGGTTATGTCCAAACCGTCTGTCAACTGGCTGTCACCGTTTTTGACAGCCTACTGCTCAAGGTCTGGCGTCTGTCAAACGTTTGTCAACTTTGACACTTCTGCAACTTGAGTGGCGGTTCTTTCAAACACAACTAAAGTACCAGGTGAGGTGGACGATTTCTTGAGTATTTAGCACCAGCCAGCGCTGATTTAGCCCGGCCTATTAGGGATGATTGAGTGGGGGGAGTTGAACACCCCGATTTTCGCTTCGGCCGGGCTGAACCCCTGCGGTTAACGGGATTTTTTACGTCTAATTTGTATCCCGTCAACGCCACATGTGTTATTTGCCGGCATGATCTGTCGTCATGTTAGATAAGTTTTATTGCCGGGTGCTAATGTTGATTTTATCAATTCGCAACCTGCTAGACTTTCCGAGCAGCCTCAATATGGGGCCAGTTAACTGGGACTAAATTAGTCGTTTGGAAGCTGAAGGGGCCGGTTTTTCAGCGTACATTTGGCTAATTGGTTATCACAGCGCCAAGTGGGGAATGACCCATTGAAGTCCGGTTAAAGCTGTATTTATGGCTGCAGGCCGAAGTATCCATTCAGCTTAATTTTGCTTCCGTTCAAATTTCTTCCAAAAGGCTGAAGAACCTGGAAGGTTTTGGCTTTCAGACGCATTTTTTGGATGGTTGGAAGTGTTAAAGCGAACCGAGCGACTGATGGATGATGATGGAAACATAAATTCACTTTTTCGGTCAAAGCAGCTCATTTTGAATTATCAGCAAACGGTTGAAAGAAAATGTTACAGGCGGATTTATCCGGTAAAGATGAGAGTTAAGGTTTTTCCGATTAAAAAATTGAAATTTAAAAGCCCTTAACAGCTCAAAATGTACCCAGTGCCCAATTCTGATCAAAAATGTACGCTGTGTATAGACTTATTTTGAATTGAATTTTGTTTAAAAAAATTAGTTAGATGCACTAGAACAACTATTTTTCCGTATAAAGAAACATTTGTTCTTTAATTTAATTTCGATCACGTATTGACAAATTATTTTAACAGAGTTTTCAATGTTTTGCTCATTATCAATTCAGGGTGTCAAAAAAATAAATTTACGAATTATATTGAGAAAA